ACCCATAAATGGGCTAAAGAATTGTTTCCCTCGTCTTCCTGTCCATCACCCCCTTGTAAATAGGAATCGTTTCTTTCAGTCATCGTCAACGCAATGAAATATGAAACCGACCCTACTAACTTGTAAAAATTCTACTACTGCAATCTCAACTAAAGCAACGAGTAATCAATGAAAAGATTGCACAGACAAATTGAGTTTTTCGTGCGCGCTCACTAGAAATGTCCACAAAAACAATCTTCTCTAATGTCTGCTAAATTATCTAATACGAGATCCAATAAAAGCACCCCGTGATCGGCTATTAACTCTTTTTTTTCTTCTTTCGGAAGATAGGAAAATGTCCTTTCAATGTAGCGAACAACTTTATCTAAAAGGTAATGGTCTCGGAGTTGACTAGCTATGTTGATAAGGTCTGATAAATTGTAATTTTCAATTATATGTGTCTGATTTACAATGGCTTTTGATGCTAACAAACTTAGAGATCTGGGGTTATTACGACGTCTTAACCAAACTGTATAATAGTTATCTCCCATAACTAGAACTGCTGACGTACAAAAATATGCAACATAATACTGAAGTTAAAGGCAAGTCGCATTAGGGGGGGTATCGTAAACGAAATATCTCTGCAACGTTCCCACTGGAAATTAAGAAATTAAAAATGAAAATAAGTTCTAACCCACTTAATGAATCTAATAAAAAATTTATAAAACGAAAAGTGAAAATGATAGTAATAACATTACGAATGATTATTTACCTTATCGTAGAATCTTGAGCAGCCACTGAATTCTTGATCAAAGTCGCAGCAGAGCCTTCATATGCTCTCTCTATCTTATTGCAGTCTTGAGCAGCCACTGAAGTCTTGATCAAAGTCGCAGCAGAGCCTTCATATGTTCTCTCTCTCTCTCGCTGATTTCAAATTTGTTAAAATGTCGAAGGAATGGTCAAATTTATAGAGAACGTATCCTTTATAAATTTGAAATGACCAAATGCAGTTCACTTTCCATGATCGTCGGCCAATTAAAAAAGTTGTTTATTTCTATCGACCAATAAAATTTAAAAATCGTAGATGTCAATTTCAAAATTGTGTTTATTAGCTACGTATATGTGTTTATATGGTCGCTATGATCATCAGTTTAAAGGCCTACTGTGCTCTAGGAACACATAGCGTTCACTGCTTTTTTTACAGTATAAAAACTATAAATCGACGTCAAAAAATTGTTCTTTTTAAGTTTTAGAGAGAAAAGATGAGATTTAGATGAGAAAATTCTGATTGGTCAGTTTCTAGTGACGTTACCTGGGTAGTAGCTTCCCACAGCTGTACTAGTAATAGTATATACTATGCAGTAGGTGACTAAACATCCAGGTGTCAGAGAAACAAAATGCCGCAAAGTATAGTGTTGCTCCCGGGTGCCGTAATGTAGGTTACGATAAGAAAGACGTCTGCTATTATATCCTGCCTGCGGATGCCGCAAAACGTAAAATTTGGCTCAATTCTCTGAAATTAAAAAATCCCAGCACAGTGTCAAAACACGCGAGGATCTGTAGCGACCACTTCGAGCCGGAATGCTTCGTACGTGACCTGCGAGCTGAATTGTGTGGTGGAAAAGCACGGAGAAAACTAAAAGATGATGCTGTACCCAGTATATTCGATTTTTCGGAGTACCAAAATGCGACAGTAAATGCCAGAGCGCTGCCGACGAGAGTCTTACCTGTAGGATGTGTGCATGATGCGGCCGTCGAAAGGAAGAAGAGACCAGCTTCTAGAGCCCCAAAAAAGTTCGTAGCAGAATTACGTTGTCGATTTTTTTGTTTATGTTAGTGAAAACTTTAATATTAACATGATAGTGGACTCAAATTTTTACTCGACATACTGCTGCACTGATCACGTATAAGGCGGAAGTAGCGAGGTAAGTTGCAGAGGTGTGAAATGTAGTGTCCGATGCTATCAGTCCGATATCTTTGGCCTTTTGTCCACTGACCTGGCTCTCCCGGAATGACACTGGTGAACTGCACGGGTGTGAAAAATAATGTTAGCTGTCACACCTGCATTATAAGGTAACTTTCTCTTATCAGTCGGGATAAGAACGTTCAGCCGACCCGACAGATGGGCATGTGTGAAAAACTATGTTCGCTGCCCTGCTTCCAAACCTTTACTGTTAACATAGTTTTGGTGTATTTTGTTGGTTAATAAATGATAACCACGTAGGGAATTCATCTTCTTTTGTGTATCTGTCTTCAAAAGTTTGAATTTTTAAATGATCATGTAGTAATCAATTGCGTGTCTCGCTTTTAGTTTGCACTGCGACGGCGAATAGCTGAATCGAATATGGCTTTCTGAGCCTCGACGCAAGTGACGTCACTCGCCTCAAAGCGCCACCACGCGGGAGTATCATAAACTAAATTCACACCTGCATAAAATGGGATTTAAAAACTAAATAAACGTAAGAACTTTTTTTCATTACTCAAAAATGACTTTTGGGCACCTAATGGATAGTTTTAACCCGTTTTTTCATCACAGTATACCTTTAAAAACGTTATATTTTTGTCGACCAATGAAATTTAAAGACCGTTGACGCATATTTCAAAATCGTGTTTATTAGTTACGTATATGTTTTATTTGGTTACTATGAGCNAATTTGGTGTATTTTGTTGGTTAATAAATGATAAGCACGTAGGGAATTAATCTTCTTTTGTGTATCTATCTTCAAAAGTTTGAATTTATAAATGATCATGTAGTAATCAATTGCGTGTATCGCTTTTAGTTTGCACTGCTAGCAAGCGGATAGCTGAATCGAATATGGCTTTCTGAGCCTCGACGCAAGTGACGTCACTCGCCTCAAAGCGCCACCACGCGGGAGTATCATAAACTAAATTCACACCTGCATAAAATCGGCTTTAAAAACTAAATAAACGTAAGAACTTTTTTTTCATTACTCAAAAATGACTTTTGGGCACCTAATGGATAGTTTTAACCCGTTTTTTTCATCACAGTATACCTTTAAAACCTGTGCCGCCATCTATTGACCAGGCGCAACGGTCTGGTCATTTGTGTATACGTAAACCGATATAAGAAAATCGAGGCAAGAAAACGGACACTTACAATGAAGAAAATCAACAATGTACACTTTATTTGGTATACTCTTCGAGATAATACCCCACGATGTACCCAACCTGGGCCGTCGCAAAGGGTGAACACGCTTAAAAATACTTTGTACTTAAAATCCAATCCGGTTCACACAAGGTACAGATCGACGTCCACAGTATAACGTCCTATTGAGCACGTGTAATGCAATGGAATGGAAATATGGTTACAGCAAGTACTTTGATCGTAAAATATATTTCATAAATACAAATGTTCAGACAAAGTTTTAAACCTTATGTTAATAAATTGCGTATTATCCAGCGAGAAAAAGGACTCTTCAAATTCATTGTATTCTACATCATTGAGATCTCCAGACAAAATGAAACAGCTATAGTTTGTACATACAACCTCGTATTGTAACAGTATAGCTTCAAACATACAACCACACTCCCCACGTGTGACTTCATTTCACTACTGGGGTATTCTATTCATCACTTACTACTTGAAAGAAAAATGAACATTCCCGTTTCCGAACTATCCAGATAGGGTTATTAAAACAAGCGTTTCTTTGGGTTTTACATAAAATATAAAATGCCCAGTTCATAAGATTCTAATGGAAATGCAATACCTTTCTAGTGATTTTTTCTTAGCGAGGTGTTTAGAAACGTACTTATCATCCCTGGGTTCTGCCCACGTTTTGAAGCCAAAAAGGGGACAAAAACACACATTTCAGGCAAAAAGGATTTTAAAAAGAAATAACAAGGCAGATAGAAATGTGTATGAAATGAAATAAAGTTTCTCCCACTGCGGATTGCTGTTTTCATTTTTCATAAGACCCACCAAAAACGCGTAATCGTCATTTATGGTCAACGGGAACCCACCGAGGACTTGACCTTGCAGTAGTCTTTAAGAAGGAGTTTCAATTCGTCAAAGCAGGCCAGCTCTTTAACTTTTCAAATTCCCACTGACACCCTCTTGTACCATAGGTGTGAACACATGGAGGTTGCATGAATGGCATTTAAAATCTATTACCGGACTTGTTATTCATTATGGTCGGCAACCTTGCCGAGCCTTAAATTGATCTCCTGAGAACACAGGCGGAATCATTGAATATTACAACGTCTTCAGCTTCAATAAATTGTATAGTAAGTCCAGTTGTAGGTAAAAATACTTTCTTCCTGTAAAACTCGACTGGATGGCTAATCTATACTGTAATAAAGCGGTTAAGTTTAAAGAAACTTACACGCATCGGACCCAAGGCCCCGGACAAATATTTCAGCTAAATTCAGAACAAAATTCTTAACGTTTCACCAAAGGAGCCATGCTAGCTTCTACCTATGGCCGAACCAGGTGATCGCCCCAGTGTATTCATTTGAGGAGTAAAACAATATGCAAAAAATAATGTTGGTTGAAACAAGTCAGAGATTATACACAGAAGTGGCATTATTGCATTAACGCGTCTTTTTCCACGCTCTCTTTAACTTCGCTGCCTAGTTGAAGTGGAATTTGAAGTTGAAACCGTCACTACCGAATGGATTGAACCCATGGAAGAACGGGTTGCCGCGGCCACCTTGCTGTTGCTGTTCTGGATCCAGAGGGTCTTCTCCGTTGTCGTATCTCTGTCTCATTTCTGAGGAAAAACAAATGAAAAATCTCAACTCTAAGAATATAAGTCTTGAACATGGTGGTGATTTTGTTAATAACTACCTCTATTTGCTGTTATCAATGTTTAGATTACGCAAACGAAGAGTTATGACATGTGGTACAGACATTACATGAGACACCACATGCCGTGCTCATTTCAAATGCAGGCTACTTTTATATTTAAAAAATCAATAGCGAAAAGATGTCTGCAGTGAAAATATGGATGATACATTGGGATTTCCTAATAAAATATCGAATAAAAGACATAGAACTAGACTAAAACGTGAAAACAATCCTAAGTATCCTTATTTTAATTAAAATTTGTATAATGATTAGAAATAAGCAATGCTTAATTCACTTGTGTAGCAGAAGTGGGGTAACCATTGTGTTTGGGGCCACATTATACAAACCTGGGTCTGATAAAACTTCTTTGGCGGCTGCAATGTCCATAAACTTTTTTTCAGCCTTTTTCTTCTCTTCCCCATCAAATTTATCAGGGTGCCACTGTAAAGCTAGTTTCCTATATGCTTTGTTTATAGCCCTTTTATTTGCATTTCTGAAAAAAAAAATAACAAAAATTAAAAATGTGATTATTAATTTTGCTATGAAATAACCCTAATAAATTTTATATAATGAACATGCCCATTATAAAATTTGCCTATTAACATTTAAATGAAGTCCTGAACAAAATTAATGAAAATTAAACTGTAATTTTAAATAGAGTCCAATTCTCAATCATGCCACCTTCCAACCTACCTTTTTACACCTAAAATTTTGTAATAATCTCTCTTTTGTGAATTTTTCAGCAGTTTCTGTGCTCTCTGCTGTCCTTCCTGTGCTCTCTGGTTGTTTTTGTCTATATTTGTGGCTTTTTGGTATTCTTGAACAGCTGAAAATTTTAAACTTTTATGTTAGTACACCACTTCAACCACTTTTTTCCAAAAAACAAAATGTGCAATTAATTTTGAAAATATATGAATAGCAAAGTTCTTAACAATACATCTGTGGCACAGGAACATTTCTAGAATAATTTTGGCTCAATATTAATAAAATTAATACCTATATAAGCAATGATGATGATTTCCATGGACTCACCTTCTTCATACTGTTCATTATTAATATAATTTTCTGCTAAATCACACCTGGCTTCAATATTATTTTCATCTATTTCTAGTATCTCTTTACACCACTTAAAGGCTTCTTCTATATGTTTTGCCTGAAAAACATCAGGAACAAAGTTTAACAAACTGACATAAAGATTACCTTTGTATATATATTTTTTGTCCATATCCTAATATTAAAATATACAAAAAAATGATACATAAATTTAAAAAAATAATAATAAATATACAAAATGATAAAGTAAAGAAGTCCACAATTATCAAATCGTAGGCGGACATTGGCATGTTGCTCCACATTTTTATTTTGCTATTTTTTTTCAGTATTATGACAGTGACAAATGATAATAATATTGGTACTTTTACTTATTCAACATGTGCTCTCACAGAGCTGCCACAAGGGGGAGACACCTCTCAACGCAACCCAGCATTGTGTCTCCTTTAACACACTCCACTAACACAATGCCACCCAGCATTGCCTTCTCTAACACACATCACTAACACAATCCTTACCTTCATATTACAGTGACAGGCATGTCCTTTAGCTCTGTGTATATAGGAGAACACTCTGTCTTCTGTCTTTAGAATAGCCTTTGATTTGCTAACACAGTCCTCATACGCCCCATTGCTCTGATAATCCTGGACGTCTCGCAACTGTTTTGTAAGTTTTTTCACTTTTTTGTAAAATGGGAAACATTGCTTGTGGTCTGGGTCCAGCTTTAGGCACTCTCTGATTTGTCTGAAAATTGAATTGATTCAGTGACTGAATTTGATCTGACTTATTCTTTTAACATAAAATACAACAATCACACTACCTATATTTCTCCATTTATTGAAAAATAGTTTAAATGTGTTGAATATTTTGTCATAGACAGTATAAAAATCATACTGAGTTGATAAAACACCACATTTCAACTTGTCTGCCTTCAAGTCTGTACACACCGAAGATGTCAGCCTAACTTCGCAACTCGTCAGCGAGTATCATCAAAATCTCTGTTTGTTACAAAAGAATATTTCTACCAAATCCCAGACAAACTTACAGCAACGCCTCCTCAGCTTCCCCCATGTCATAATGCAGGTTACTCAGCTTGTAATAACCCTCTGTGTTATCTGACACCAGTTTGGTGGTGGTCCTGAGGTCCCCTGACGCTTTGAAGTAGTTCCCCTGGGCAATGTAGCTCTCGGCTCTCAACTCACGGAGGTCCGCATCCCAGGGACTCACCTGGGTGTGAAAAACATTTTATATATATATATTTAGTATCTTTTTTCTAAATTCCATTTTCAATGCAAAGAATATCATGCACACAAACACACTGAATTATTTTCAGACTGATTATTTTTTTGAGAATGAGAAATTTGCGCTGAAGGAAATTTCATTCACATTTGCACTTTCTCTCTCCCTCTCTCTCTCACACACGAACACACATTTACTATGCAATATAACTGAAAATTTCACACTGATGCAAAGCTCCAGACCATTTTCACACACACACACACACACACACACACACACACACACACACACACAGTTTCTCTTACATCTATTGCCAGTGACACAGCGTCAATAGCTGCCTGGAAGTCATGTTGTTCATAGTATTCCTTGGCTAGTCTGATGTTTTCTCTCTGAGGCTCCAACAACTGGAGCTGTTTTTGTGCCTCGGCATTGCTGGTTTCTACTTCAAGCTGAAAGAAGAACATCACATTCATCATGACTTTATATTTAAAATGAACAACATCTTCCAACTCTAATTTTTAAAAGTTACTTTATTTCTTTGACCATAATTTTTTTAATAGAATCAAAACTTAATGAAATATTATTGTGAATTATTTTTGCTTACTCCATGTCATCATCATTAGCTCAATTTTCTAGACAAAGAGAATTTATCTTTTCCACAGCTTTCCCATAATTTCATCAAAACTGATCAGTGCTTATAATAATAATAATAATAATAATAATAATAATAA